AATTTTAAAGTATTGTAGAAGAATTTTAAAATAGAATATATGCATTATTAGTATATAAATATTTTCAAATAAACATTGATGCATTTAATTAGTATAGTCATATTTAATTGTATATTTTTTTTTATTATAGTGGTTGAAGTAAATTTAAAGAACATTATTTGTGTTATAAATTTTATTTGGTCATTTAAATTTGTCATGATTTAATAATATTAATATAAGTAATTTTATAATTTAATTTATTTTATGGCTTAAGTATGTCTGACAAATCATTTATCCTAGACTTATTAATAACTTCTTATCGAAGTTGCAACCATATAATGTTTTTGAGTATGTTTGGAATGATATTGAAGATAGGATATTAATGGTTAAAAGAGTCATAAAGAATGAATTTTGTGATGGGACAATCCTTAATGAAATTCAACCTTTTTTTACATCAAGCTAGATTTTTAGGAGTGACACATATAATGTATTTTCCAATTGATCATCACTTAATTTTTGCATTGGTTGAACGTTAGAGATTCGAAACTCATGTTTTACATGACCTTTTATAAGTGTATTATTACGTTGTTAAATGTTACTATTTTAGATAGATAGTGGTGGTACAGGTGATAGGCATAATGATTGTTATAATAAATTGAACACAAAACATTCAAGAACGTTCAAGAGAAAGACATTTTTTGTTCAAAGTCAAAATAAACACAAAACACTCGAGGGGAGGTGTTTTGTGTTTAATTGATTTTTAATGTGAAAATATTTCTTGAACATATAATGTCTTCTCCTTAGATATTTTCTGTTCATCTACTATTTAAATGCATAAGCTCCACCTCAAGAACGTTTTGTTTATATAAGTATTTAAATACGGATTTAATTTACTTATACGGACATCGTAAACTTTTCTATACCATTATTCAATTAAAAAAAGTCTTAGATATTTTTTTTTGTATAATTAAGAATTATAAAAAAAAACACCATCTGTATATTCTAATTAAATTCTGGAACGAGTGATTCATCTCGATTTTAATTTCTTAATATGAGGTATATGCAAACATAAAATAAGGGAGAATTATAGAAATTCTAAAAATCGATGGCTGCTGTATTATCAAAATAATAGTTTTATCTAAATTTATGGAGAACAACAAAAATTAAAAAAATCCTTTATCCCACTAAAACAGGTCGTAAAATACTACTAGACTCAATCACAAAATACATCAATCATGTTTTTTTTCCGCCGTATATAATTGTTTTTTTTCTTCTAATAAAGATAAAAAAAAATCACAAAGGTGATTAATTGAAATGAAAAAAATATAAAACTTATATTTTTAACTACCTTAATCTCTTCACATCAATCATGAAGCTGAGCTTAGTGGTCCATCTTAATTTTTTTTTTACTTTTACTTTTTTTCATTTATTAACATTCACTAGATTTAGAAAGAAATATAACAACTTTTTAAAAAATTATATACCACCTTCTCGTCTTATGGAAAGTTTGCTTTCTAGGTAAATGTTTGCCTTAAAATAACATGCAAACCTTGATACCACACTATCAGTACGTGGTTGATGGAGACAATAAACTAAATTGACGCTAGTAAGCAACTGATTAGGAGAGCTTTCACATGTGTGATGCAAATATATATATACCTTTTTAAATGTTGATGAGTTAAATAATTTTAATTCCAATTTATATATGTATAATATCTCATATATGTTTGTATGGTGTGGGGTACTACATCTCGGTGGGTTTTAAAGGAACCCCCTCCCCCAGTTTCTGATTATAAATAAATGTAATTCTGTACAAGAATTATGTAATTTGTAAGGTTTCCTCATTGCATATATATCTTTTGTTCCAACGATTAAGGATTACTAAGATAATTAAGAGTCACCTTCAATTAGAGTTGTGGTATTAAAGTAAGAAAGAAAACATGGTTGGGATGAGGGAAGGTTACACACATGACACAGTCCTCTCTTTCACAGACTTACTTAGGTTTCTTGAATTTAAGTTGATGGTATTGATGATGTCATGCTTGCGTTGCATGCATGTCTGTGAATGACTCAAAAGGGAAGATTAATGTTAATGTAGCGATATCAGCGGAAGACCATTCATGGGGCCAGACTGACATGCATTTCATTGTTAGGAAAACAACTCACGTAAAGGTGTTCACCACTTCCAATTGTGCCACCAAATTAAGAAGATCTTCATTCAATTCTCATATAGGATTCTAGCTACTTACATTATACTCACATATTTTTAATACTCATGTTTATTGTATTAATTTGTTTCTCTCCTATCCATCTAGTAATGATATTAGGGAATGTATTTGTGTTGAGTTAAGTTTTTGGTTTTTAAACTCCAGCCTCTTAATTTGTAATTTTTTTACCTTATAAATTTAGCTCATTTACTTAAAGAAGTTAAATTTAAAGTTTGAAAATATGACTTAATCTTTTCAGAAATTTAATATTTGAAAGATACACTATAAGTAAAATAAATAGTATTTTATACTCTTAAAAATGACTGAATGTATGACATAAAATATATAACGAAATCAATATATATATATATATAAATATTATGATATATTTAAAACATATCTTGAAAAATAATGTTAGGTATTATCGTACGATTATTTTTGTACGTAAAAGCGACGAATCAGCCTGTATTTGTCTCATTAGTTACATAATAATGTAAACAACGAGACAAAGGAGAGGAGTTGATAGAAATGAACCCATACCCATACTATACTAGTTGTAGTATTTTCATCGAATTCATTTCACACCATCTCGCATTTGTATACAAGATTATATTAGTGTATGATGTAAGAATTTTGCTTATTGTTTATAAGGAGAACATAAATATTTGATTATTTAAATTCGAAGCATATGTTTTTCCAATAATTAGTTGAAAATAATTGTACGATCGATGTAGGCAATGGAGGGGAAAATAGATATGAAGTTTATATAATTAAAATGATTTATGGATACTGTATACAGGTGTGTGTTGGATCATGGATGGTGTTGACAATATCGGGCAAGGCCCATCCCATGCCACTTCACCTCATCATGAGGCCATCATTTCTCCGAAGGTGGACCCCACGGGTGCCACGTGGGACCATCTCACTGGCTGTCCCCGACAACGCCCACCGTCACCGACGACTACCACTCGTTCCCCGAAAGCGACAACTCGCTCACACACGTCGTCCCCACGTACGTGGCGGGCCCCGCCGCCCAACGTGGCCACGTCGACTTCGTCTCATTTACACGTGTCCCCACGCGCTTTCCCTCCGCCACGTGTCTCCACACACTCCGCGGGACCCACTCCGCTCTTTTATTTTAATTTAAACAATAAAAAAAAGAGGTTCGCGAACCAATGACATGAAATCTCGGCTTTTGGTACTTGCGCTATGCGTTAAGCATAAGGAAGGCACGCGCCGTCACTTAGGGTCACGCGCTGCCACGTTGAGCGTTGGGGCGTGCATTGGACGCGTGAGGGCGAGAAGGGGTATATTTGGGGAGTTTTTTTATTGGTGAGTAAGGTGCTTCCAAATTCAACAACCGAGGAAGGTTTCCTTGTAAAGCACGTTTGGTGAGAGGCGAAACGCTATATATACCTGGATTGTTATTTACCTTGTTCTTTCTTCGCCTCCCACCGTTTTCATTATTTTTTCTTTCAGGTGAATATTATTGTGTTTTGGTTTCGGTTTCGTGTTTCTTCCCGAAAGTACGCATAACGAACGAACGCATTGCCTTCCCTATTGTCTCTCTGTCTCTCTGTCCCTCTTTGCCTGCCCATAATTTTACCCCATTTTTGGCTTCTGCCAAACAACAACTTGTGCCTTTTGTCTCCTTTCTGGGTTTTCTACCTTTTTTTTTTAAAATAAAATAAAAATATAATCTTTTTATTTGTTGTTGGCCGCCAAACTAGTCTTTTTAATTCGGGTTTTTCTACTCTTCTGACTGGTGCTCCGTTTACGCTGTTGAAGATTATTTCGACCAGAAACTGCATTCTCAAGATTCATGACCAATCTCGTTTCTTTCTTCCCGTGGTTGGAGCTCGTTTTTTAGGTAAGGGAAACAAACCTATGTTTCGCTTTCTTCTTCTGCTTCTTCTTCTTTTCCCCCTTTCCTCTGTTTATTTTATTTGGTTGGTTTTGTGGCTTGTTTTTGTTTCGGTGCCGTTTGGGTAAAAGTAAAACGCTTGACATTCAAAAGGGTCGGTGTCGTTTTGACTTGTGAATGTTTCGTGTTACCTTCGCTTTTAGTGATTATTCAATCTCGTATTAAGCTGGTCAGCATCTAGGATGATTCTAACCCACCTTTTTATTTTTTTTTTCGGCTCATTTTGATTAAAGAGTGTTTTTTTTTCTTCCTTTTCTTTTTCTAGTTAATCATATTCTACTTTGACCGATCCGCGCGCAATTGGTTAATTCTGTTTTTTCAGTTTTTTTTTCCGACCGCGAGATGGGTGCTGTCGTCTGTTGAATCTGATTTGTCTTCCCTGGAGCTGTTTTTGATTATTCTGATGTGATATTCTTTGTTTACACCCTTGATTTTTTCTAGTCTATTTGTTTATTGTCCTCATCGTGTAAACTATTCTGAACCATTTAAAAGAATGCAAAATATAACCAAAATGAGCAAAAAGTCAATTTCTGAAGTCAACATCACTCCCTGTTCAGTTTCCCGGTCTTGGGTTCTCTTTCGCAGTATTTTAAACTTATACCGTGGAAATACTTGTATTTTACGTTTGATTTTTGAAGGAAATTTTCCTTACAAAGTTTGGGAAATTTTTTATTCTTTCTCGTTGTTTATTGATATGCTATGTCAGTTTGTCTATTTCATCGTAGAATCTTTTGTGTTGGGTCCATTTGTATTATTGAATCCCACTCTTTGTAGGCCCAAGATGTGTGGTTGCATATGGTATTGTTTTCTTTCGTGTCCACTAAGTGGGGCAGTACAACTTTACATTATGCCGAAAATTATCATTTTCTTAATTGTTTCATTAATCATTCACAGCTTAGCACGCTTTAGTTGTTGAAATTTTTTGATCTCCCTTTTCTATGTAGTGTTGGTTCATGGTTGGATTTTTTTCATTCCTGATATTTTTAGTCTAGTCTGGTTTGTCTTCATATTTATTCTGTGTCATGTTGCAGTCATTGTTCTTGGTGATTTCTATCTGAGTTGTCATATTTAATTAGTTGTTACTCTGTTGTTTGTAGTATATATAATATAACTAGCTTGTCCATTCTTGAATAAATATCTATAACATTCATCGCTGTCATATTGAATTCTCTCTGATTGAAACCTTTCCTGGAATGGAGTACCCTTTAGCAATCAAAGTGTGGAAGACTATTTATGTTTTGATTTTCTTAAAATGGATTTTTTTTTATCCCTCTTAGGATGGGGAAATTGAGTTTATATATTATGGAAAGATTCGAATCTGCAAGAGGACTTGACCTTTGATACCAGCTATATGAGTAATAGTAGAGCGACATATGGTGTGGAAATTGTTAATTAACTGTTCTGTTCATTAGCTGCTCTTGCTGTACAAATTTATAAGCAACAATCAACAATAAAGTCCAAAAATTGTTAATTTTCCTTTTCTTGCTGACTAAAATTGTTTCATTTTTTATATTCTAATTACAAAACCAAGCAAGAGTGCAAGTACATACAGTTGTAGTAGATGCTTTTTCTGTTTCACATTTTTCTCATACAAGTACATGAATTTACATGATCCTAACTTGTGTTACTCAACCAGAGTTCAAGGTAAGCGCCAATCATGTTTAGTTGTCAATTAAGGCCAACTTGTGCTTTGTGCATGTATTTAGTTCACTACAAGGGATGGACCCTTTAACGTCTTTATTTGGATTTTAGTGAATTGCATTTTTAGACCAATCATTAATGGGAAGAATCCTTTTATTGAATGAATAAATGATAGGAACAATCAATAACACTTCCTTTTTTATTTTTCGATTTTATTTTTTTTCAATGGTTATTAAAAAAAATCTTGTTATATAATTATGCTTTTGATAACAGTAGTCCTAAGGCTGTCTCCTTCACTTTTCCTCTCTCTGCTCCCTATTCTTGATTCTGCTTGCTTCATGTGTTTCATAGTATAATTTCTATACATCTCAAGCATCTTTGATTTTTTATTGATTTGATGTTGATCATAGCATTTTCATGTCTGCAGTTTTTTCTCACGTCTGACTGACCAACAAGATGTTTCTCCATTTCTATTGGATGTTGCATATAATTTAGAGATTTTTTATTTTAAATCATGTTCTCCAATACATGCCTACAACTGTCTTATCACTTTGATAGTTGATAGGAAGAGAAAAAGTGGACTCAAACTCAAGATTTCCATTTGCTCAAATTATTCCAGTCTCATGATATTAAAGGTAATCAATTATGTGATCATTATTTTCAGGAGCTCTGCAGTTGATGGACTGTTACCCCAAGAGCAGTGACAAGAAAACATTAAAGAGGTGGTTTTTTATTGATAAGAGAGTTGGGTGAAGCGGAAATCTGATAGATACTTGTTTGATTGGTGCTCAATACTTTTTAAAGTTCTTACATTGTTGCTGGACTGTAAGCTGGTTTACAAACCTGGATCCCATGGACTTGAAGTCGAATCATACTCCTGTTCTCACTGATAGTGCACCTGTTACAAAGTCTAGACTGGGTGTGCATTCCAGTTTGTTGCCTTACTCTCATACTGGGGCAACCTTTACACATGGAATGTTATTGACTATCCCGAGGAAGAAGACAGGAATTCTTGAAGATGTTCGTTGTAGTGGTTGGTTGGATGCCATGAAATCATCTTCACCTCCTCCCAGGAAGATAGCAAAGGATGTTAGCCATGGGTTTGCATCTTCCGATGCTGATACTGCTGGTTCTTATTTTAGCTGGCTGGTATTAGATACTTCCCTTGTTAGTTTCTAAATTTCCAAATTTTAAGGGGGTTATTTATGCTCTTTCTTTTTTCATTCGTGTTAATTTCACAGCTTAAATACCCATCAGCTCTTACATCTTTTGATCAAATCACAAACTATGCAAAAGGGAAAAGAATTGCGTTGTTTATGGATTATGATGGCACTCTTTCACCGATTGTAGATAATCCTGACTGCGCTTTCATGTCTGACAATGTATGTGGTACTCTCCTTGGGTTAACTATCCTTAACAGCAATTGGATTTTATTCTTTTGTTACTCTTCTTGAGCTAATTATGATTCTGTAAACTATGCAGATGCGCACCGCCGTTAAAAAGGTGGCAGAATATTTTCCAACAGCAATAATTAGTGGAAGAAGTCGTGACAAGGTAGTTGAACAATTTTTATAAAACACAGACAATTTTCTTTATCTTCTTAATTTCCTTATCTACTTGGACACAACTATTTACACTCATGCTTTCAAGAACCTTTCTTGTCAGTTGCTGGTTCTAACTTTTTATTACCCTTGTTGGCTCAGGTATATCAATTTGTAGGACTAACTGAACTCTATTACGCTGGTAGTCATGGTATGGACATTATTGGCCCTGTTAGACAATCTGTATCTGATAATCACCCAAATTGCATTAGGTCTACAGACAAGCAGGTACTTGTTGAAAATTTGTATCTGTCTTCTATTATACGAATCTCTCACTTTCCATACTCCTCATGTGTTTTATTAAATGGCATCTGTTATGTTTTTTAAATTTACAGGGTACGGAAGTAAATTTATTCCAACCTGCTGCTGAATTTCTGCCCATGATTAATGAGGTAGGCTTTTAAAAAATGGCATCAATGTTTTTTCTTCATTGGAACTTGTTATCCTGATTGGCTCATGTTTGGGCAGGTATTGAAGTCTCTTCAAGAGTGTACGAAAGACATTAAAGGAGCTAAAGTTGAGAACAATAAATTTTGTGTATCTGTTCACTACCGGAATGTAGAAGAAAAGGTATATAAGCTTTTATTCTCATGCTTAATAGTTTTCTTCTAAGTTGGTTTTGCATTTTTCCAAACTTGTTACCTGCAATGTTTGTAACATTTTTGTTTTCAATTTAATAATACAGAGTTGGGATTTGGTGGGGCAACGTGTTCATGATGTTCTTAAAGACTATCCGCGTTTGCGCTTAACTCACGGGCGGAAGGTACTGATTTTAGAGCCAAAGCCAACCTTTTGATGCATTTTTAAGGAGATTCAACGGATGAATTCTTAAAAAAGAGGATTTGTTGTTTATAATTTCTGCTTACTATTTCTCAGGTTTTAGAGGTCCGACCTGTGATTAACTGGGATAAGGGAAAAGCTGTCACCTTTTTACTTGAGTCACTTGGTGAGTTCATTAAAATGGTTACTTTCTTTAAAGATCACGGTTCATTGTTTTGCAGTAATTGACTTTAGAATATTGTGATTTAGGGCTAAACAATTGTGATGATGTGCTTCCTATATATATTGGAGATGATCGGACAGACGAAGATGCATTTAAGGTAATATTTAGCTTTCAGTGATGTTGTGAGTTGCACCTGTTTCCTGTATTCTCACTTTTCTTATTCCTTTTGCTCTGTTGATTTTTTCAATAATGACATCAAACAATGTATTATAGGTTTTGAGAGAGGGAAATAGAGGTTATGGGATCTTGGTGTCTTCAGCACCAAAAGAAAGCAACGCAGTTTACTCTCTTCGTGATCCATCCGAGGTAAATCTCATTTTTAACTGAGTTCATATATTCTGTTTGAAAATTTTCTTGTAGTTACTTGTTCATTAGGTGGTCTAATTCGTTGGTATTATTTGATGTGGACATAAATTTTACCTTAACAAACATTGTCATTGTATTTACAGGTGATGGAATTTCTCAAGTCACTTGTGTTATGGAAGTCAAGCACATTAAAAAGCCTTATATAGTGTATAGAGGAGAATAACTCTGCTATACTATACTATACTACATGATAAAAAAAAACAAAACAGCTTTTTGAATTTCGGAAACATTCCAAGAGGTTTCCTGGATCAGATTTGAGCACAGAAGACCTCTTATGGAAACAAAGCGCTGTCCTCCTGTGGTAGCTGTAAATTCGTGCCTCATAATTATATATATCTTAAAGAAAAATGTGTTAAGAGTTTTTTTTTTTTCCCTCGTTCAAAAAGTGTATTGATATTTAATCATTGCTGCTATTTCAGTTTTGATCACTATATTTAACCACTAAAAAGGGGAATTACAGAAGCGAAATTATTCATTTGTTAATTCTTTTTGCTTTGTAGTTTGACTGTTTGAATAATATATAAAAGTGGCAGCTTTTGATGAGATATCCGTGATGGCCCATTGAAAAATAAAAAAAAGGAAAGAAAGGGTAATAGCTTTTGTTGTACCTCAATAATTTAAATTGTATCCATCGAACTGATCAAAGTTGCCCACGTATGAAGGATCCAATGGCATGGCTTATGAGGGATTGGTAAGGTCATTATCTTATGTATGGCACGAAGAAAGAAATAAGCTGAATGAAAATATGCGAAAAATAAAGGTGTTTAGTTTAAGAAAAAATACAGAAAAGATGAAAGGTTTATATTAGATAATAATAACTAAAGTTCTTATTCCTCAGTTCCAAAGCCGTTATTGGGCCTTTACTAGAGTTTCCCCAATATTGACATAAAATCTACCCTACCCATTTTGAATCACCTAGAACACAAACGAAAGGAGAGCCATTTTAGTGCTGGACGACAGTCTAAGTAAATTTATAAAAATACTCCTAACAACCATGTATACATTCACAATACCTATATTGATACGTAATATTACAACTTAATTTCGTTTTAACCTATAGGGACATTCACAATTCTTTTAATTTCTTTTTGAATTTAAAGAATAACATAAACTTTAAAAATTTTAAATCATAGAAACAAGCGCCAAGGTTTAATTGCTACATAATATATCACGTAAAAATAAAACTGGACATTCCAAGTCAAACGATGGCAAATGTGATTATTTATATCAAGTCACGGCAATTAACCAATGACATAAATATAGAAAGTTTACAAACACATCTAAATCTTGGTGATCAGTGATCACATATTACATTCTCGGAGTGGTTATTAATCCTTACTTGCAATAACCATTAAACATAGTTAAAAAAAAGTCTAAAAATAATAAATAATCTCTTATGATGTTTTTGCCTAATAATAATTCTATGTAAAGTCATGAAGAAAGAGTTATATACTATGACTTACCTATCTTTCACCTCTTCAATGTATTTATTATTTCTGTTATGGACAACGCTAAAAGCCTGAAAAGTGTTTTATTTTTGAAGCACGAGACTCATGCAGAAAATTTACGAGCCAAAGTTCTTAAATCACAAGGATTAGCAGATTGTTATTCACAAAAGAAAAAAAGGATTAGGTTAGGTGATTGGCGTGAAACTTTTGCCTTTACGCCAGTTTTTTCCAGAAGCTCCATATCAAATCCACACGAATATTGTTAATTACTTCTCTAATTTCCCATATCTTGTTTACAATTAGGATTGCACGCGCGTAATTAAGATTTTTCTTCATTAAAGTATTAAATATTTATAATCAAAAGTACTAAACATATTTTAAAAGATATTTTTGTTATTTAAATAGAATTATTTTACTATTTTTATTATTATGTCAACATTAAACTTTTCAGCTACTCTCCTTTTAATATATAATTAATTAATTAATTAAAAGATACTAGTGTTTTATTACAATTCAAAAATAATGATAAATAATATATAATATCTATATATATATATATAATATTTTAAATTTATAATCATCAATTTAAACTGTAATATAAAGTTAGCTTTAACTATTTAAAATTTGTAGTAAAAGATATTCAAATTTAATTAAGAAAGGGAATTTTTTTTAGCCAATTGCAAAAAATAGAAATAAAAATGTATGAAATAACTTGTAAAAAAAGAAACGAGACATAGTGTTGATAATGTCAAAGTGTGAAAGTACTTGCTGTAGAGATGTTATTGAAAATAAAAGTTTAATTAGCATAAAATGAATCAATTTATCAATGAATGGAAACGGGGTTGCGGTGGAAACTAGTAAGAATGAATGAAAAATCTGTATATCAATTATAGTAAGAAATAAATGAGTACTTTGTAAACTTGTTTGGCATAAATGAAGTACGTACGTATACAGATCGGTAACGACTTGGCGTATTTGTGCAATGTACGACATCTACACTGTAGTTCCCCCAAGACTTTCAAAATTGCAACTTGAAAGAAATGGTATACTGTATTTCTCTTGTAACATTTTTCAAAAATATAGAATGAAGTGTACGTAACTACGTTGATCAGGGACGTAACTAGAAAAGGTGCACAATTTTTTTCACACATGCAAAAAAAATAATAATTTAACACTGTTTATAATTATTTAAAAATATAATTTAATAAATATATAATACTCTATTATATATCCCATGAACATTGTTATGAAAGGAAAACACATTCAAATAATAAAACATTTTCGTTTTCAACTATGTTTTTTTTTCCAGAAACATAAAGAAACAAAAAATATAATAATTTAAGTTTAAATTTAATTGAAATAATTAATACAGCAGACTTAAGAATAAAGACTTATATTGACTTACAACAATTTATCAATAATAACAATGAATATGCATATTCTTTACTCAAATAATTCAAAAGAAGAAGAATAAATAAATACTAGTTAAATTATAGTTTTTTTTAATTTAATTCATTAAACTTATTTATTTATTATTAAAAATTTATTTTAAGACCTTATTATTTTTAAATATAACATAATATGCATCATCATCACTATTATTATTGCATTACCATTATCATCGCTATCATTAGGGATGGACAAAATGAACTTATCTGAATTTATAAAAACTGTACCAAACTTAACAGTAATTCATGTAGACTAAACTTAATTATATATTAGTTTAAACAAATTGAGTTGAACTATTTTTTTTTTTGTTTCATTGAATTAAACTGAATTGTACTATAAATTTTTGAATTAAACTGTAATTTAAATTGCACTAAACTATTATAGTACTTTGAATTGAATAATTTTAATTCGTTGATCTATCAAGACGAAACAATTTATAAACTTTATTTTATATTTTTATTAACATTTTCATAT